ACAAAATACGATGTTCAGCTGTCAGAGTGAACTGCGAGAACTGGCATTATGTTCTCTTTCACACATCATTAATTTAACAAAATCTGCATGAAAAAGAACAAACATGATCATTTGAGAAAACTGTTCTTCAAATTATTGAAAACCCTATAGTACATATATGTCAACTTTACTGTTTAGATAAGGATAAATTTGGACAGTTTAACTCATTTCATTTCGTTGTGTCAAACACACAAGCATATTTAAACAACCATCTTTCAAGAAGTTGATATCATGAAACATAGTGGGCTAGAAATAACTGACATGTTAGTTGAGTACAACTGACGCGTCAAGTATATTGTGTTTTTTCTGAAAAAATAAATTTACAATTTTCTGTAATTTTTTCACATAAGAATATTCGGTTGGTTTTGAATTATTTCAAAACAATGTCCAATTATCATTAATTTGATGAATTGTTCATGCACATATTGTATTTCGTAGATGATTTTCTGGAAACGGGCAATGAAAAATCGATTAAACTTCTCATAAACTTCACAGCAGGTAAGCATTTGTGTTTCCATTTTTTTGTGTTCATCATTTTAGTAATAAGCAAGTGTACGGCATTAGAAATTTCCGACAAATTCACAGCTAGTTAAAAATGAATCTCACTTGGTATCACTATCTTAGCTTGAACGTTCATTGTTTTTACTTATTCGGGGCACAAACTGTATGGTTTGAAAAAGTGATATTCATTTATGATATATTCATATATATACAGCGTGACAGTGAAGTGAAATCGATCTCAAGAACAATATATGAACGTCCATGCTGTACTTACTGATTATATGATGTGAAAATGCACGAAAATGTCACACTCGGTTCAGTATATGTTCATCATATAAAGAATTGATTCAGAAGACAGTTCACCACAAAACACAATCGATGCTCTCTCACTCAACAATAACGAGTTTAGGATGACATGTTGTTCATACACGTTATTTTGCGATAAACATTTTTTCTGTCGAAAGATAAAAAGCTTCACTTACATTATGTTCCGATTGTAGACCAAAAAGATAAATATGAAAAGAATGTCAAGTGGTTTACGACTAGGTTGAACAAAGAAAAAGGTAAATTTATTGCTCATTACCATTTACAAGTTTAGCTGAGTATAATTGATAACTGAAATGTTGCATTTTGCATTAACTGTTTTAAAACCACGAAACCTGACTACTCAGTAGAAGGTCGCTGTTCGTCAGTGACGTACAGCAAGTTTAGTTGGAGTCATCGAGTGCATTGTCAAGTCACTAAAAATCAATTGTTTTCTGCATCTGAAATATGCTCGCTAATTGCAGTTGTTCTGAGTAGATCTACAAGAAATGCAACGTTGAATCAGGCGCGTGTCATTCATGTGAATGACAAACACAGCCGATCATCTTTGTACACTTTTAAAAAGAGAAACTCTTGCGCAACACTTAATATACTGTTCAATGCGTTTCTAAATGAACAAAGATCCACTCATATAAATGTGAATATTCGTAGGTTACAAGTTTTGATTAGGTTGAGAGTATCCGTGAGTTGGTTTTATGATTTTGCATGTACCTCTTCCAGAAAGTGCACTGACAGCGTTAACATTCAATATCAACGCATCTAAACACATTTTCACTTTCAGTATTATGTGTTATCTTTTGTTTTTTTTCTAGATCGAATAAATGGAATTCTCAAACATGGAAACGAAAGCATCGATTCATGTATGTGGAACAATCCGTTGTGTTATTTAATTACAATTTTCATTGTAGTTGCGGATTGTGCATGTCAAATGGCAAGAATTCGATACAGTCATTCACTACTAAGAGGTTAGTCTTTTGTTTCATAGTTATCAATACTGTTTTCATATTGAAAAAACTGTTTCAACACCGGCATTTTGAAATAAAAAGAATTTGAAATGCAGTTTCTCTACATACTTCTCGAAATCAAGTCAGGTGATTGAAGTTCTGAAACTACCACCATAATGTCTACAAATGAAACTGCCAACTGTATTCGTATTGTCGCAAATGTAACTTGAACGATAAGTGTTGTTAGGAAGTGATGCTAGGATTGTCGTGTGAAATGTGTTCCATGTGGAATCCATCACTTTTCATTCAATTACACTGGTTCTCTTCTTTGGTTTTTAATAATTCTTCTAGATCTTAAGAATACGCTACAGAAACACAAAACAACATTCAAAGGTAGGTATCAATGTTCCGTTAGACAAACTGCATAAATTATTTATATCTATGGTTGATCAGAACTGATCAATTGACAAGATATCTTCTGTTGATCTACACAACTTCACGAAACGATATATAATAAAATGAAGTGATTCTATGCTCTATAAGATAAACACAATGTTTCATGTCATATTTATCCGATTTTTATCCACTCTAATTCCCATTCTACATAGAATACAATTTAAACAAATTTGAAAAACTTTTAAAATGTTTCTACGAAAAGGATCAAATTTACAGAGGTAAGATTTGTGAATCAACTAAGTACACTTATAGTTTCGTTGTCTGATTTCACTGACTTCAAGAAAAAATTTATCATTTTTCTCCTAAACAAAAACAGCGAAATGAACATGGTTTTCAAAGCAATCTTATTCTCAATACACAGATAGTGCTAGGAGTCACTGTACAAATAATGTAATGACAGTTTAGAAAACTGATTCCTGGAGAATTTGTTATGATAGATCATTGTCCATTATTGCATATATATATTTGTGACTCGCAGTACTGACAATTGGGACGCCACAGCGCATTCCTACGATAGCACATTATGGATGAAATCAAGGTATACTGTAGTTAACCACGTCAACTAATCAACCACATTTCACAAGAATAACAGTGCGAAATAAACACTTACGGCAGGTGAAAAGAAGTGAATTGTTACAATGGATGACCTCTTGGAATAATAATTTCATTTTCACTGAGTGGGAAGATAACACCTTAAATAATATTGTAGCATCCAGATCCTATCGCTTCGACCGTATTTTCATACTTATACAGACATGAATACTACTTACAATGTGGATGAATGCGAGTCACCTGGAAGTAACAATCTGACAGGTAATTTTCAATAAAACATTCGTCTGAACATGAATGACTATGTTCACCTAATATTGATAATTCGATAACACCTCTTTATATAAAATTATTGTATCAGTGACGATATTTGTATCAGTCTGAATATTCGACTTTCTATTGAATACAACAAATAATAACTAAATAAGGAGACATGTAAAACTAAATGAAACTGATGTCCATGTAGACTTCGACTCCGAATACAAATTAATTTTGAATAACCGAATTGCACTGCGCTGATTATAATAAAGAATACTGTTAGTGTTAAGCAATTGTCAGTAGTCCATAATATACATATATATATATATATATATGCTTCCAAAGAGTAATGAAATCCCATTTCATTCAATCAATTTCATCGTTTCATGTAATACTTCATTTGGATCTACCAAACTGATTCACAAGAATCGCCTTAGGGTGAACATTATAATCACATTGTTTGACGTCGTACTCATTCAATTTTCTTTTCACCTCCTTCACTCTGCATGGAATACAATGCTAACAAATTTGAAGCACTGTTAGTTTGTGAACAACAGCTGGAGCAGTTACAAACAGGTGAGATTTTCCGAAAAAAATGATCAAAATTTATATATTCATCGTTTTATCTGTCTGACTTCATAAAAAGAAATATATTTCGACTCAATGAAATACAGTGATATGGACATGGTATTTCATAGAAATCCTATCCTCGTTTCATCGTACTTGAAACCACATTGTATAAAATGTACTGAGAATTTGTATTAGGATATTCATCCATTGTCGTAAAATAATTGGTTGTAAATGACAGGTCGATTCCCAATGGTCGTCCTAACTGTCAATGTCACAAATTTCAATGATGTTTCATATTCGACCTGACTGTATAAAAACGCATTATACCGGATCCTTTACGTCTTCTGAACACCGACGTCCTACTTTCTGGATGGTTATAGAATACATGTTCTACTTCATATCAAGTCATCTTCTTTTACTCAGTGAGGGTTTTGTGACTGTCGTTTCGTTGGATCGTCGTTTACCTACTAAGTAGAGCTTGTTCAAGTATTTCAAACGACTTTGGTCAATGAGGGTTTTCAGAGGTTCGGATTAGAGTAGCCTGTTGTGTCGCTGGATTGTCGATCCCCTCTTTCGTTTACTTACTAAGTAAAACTTGTAATAGTTCAAGTACTTCGAACGACTTTGGTCACGTGCTTGCGTAACAATTCGTTGACCAGAATATTGAAAACAATTGTCACGATGTACAACTATCTATTACTACTTAAATTTAATTGTGTTGAATACAACTGACACTGAGCATATCAAAGTCACTGCCAGCCAATACACATTGTGAGATATATAAATGATAACCTCTGGTTCAATACGTTTACTTTATATTCACACATTTACAGCCATCAAAACTACCTACCATTGGAGAAACTGCAATGCGCCGAAGGCTATGGATGCCACGGGTAATTTTAAAACAACTTTTGTTTTAACGTGAATGATATTTGCTTAATTATTGCTTACATTTTTCAAATAACTCCTTATGATACTTACTGTTATACTGACGATATTTGTAGCAGTCAGTAGAGTCCACCTATCATTGGTTTCAACGAATAATACGATATTCATAAGTCTAATGAAAACAAATGAAACTCTTGAATATCTCGATTCGTAAACGTATTGAATTAGCATAAACGAAGTGCACTGCGATGATCTCAACAAACAATACTGCTGATGTTATGCGTACATTGATATTTTGGTTATCGGTTCGTAATACAGGTCTTCAGAAAGACTTATAGACTTTCTGTTCATTGAATAAATTCTATTCCGCATAAAATGTGAAGTGATCTTTAAGACTGACAAAATTTATACGTGGTTCTTTTCCTCTTTCAGAGTTAGAGCGTTTTTACAATAACTTTGTTCGTCGGAAATATCTGGATGAAACGACTTACAATGATTATTTCTGTAAGTCACATGTGAATGCTAACAAATACAGTACCAATAATTCAAACCTTATTCTCGTTCACATATTTCCAAATGTTTTGATATACTACATCCTTAACAGATCAGAATGACGATTTCACCTTGATAACTGACTGACGCAAACTAAAATACTCGAATAAATGCCATATTTTAGTCGAATCTAACGACTTAGGCTTATTTCTCATTTATATATGAACGTACTGTAATTCAATGTTTTCTTTATCTACATACAGTTGATTATCAGATACTTTCAGAAATTGCCAGACAAATGAATGAAAGAAAGTCAACAAGTTAATTAAAGTTTCATTTTGTTCGGCGGTGTATATCACGTAAACTAACAGATAATGAATTTTCATACACATTTTGAAAGTTAGACATGTTGTTGATGATTGATGGCAATTTCCCGTATTACACGAGTTCTCACTGAATTCATTTTGTTTACTTTCAGATAATTCATGAGTGGAATGAAATGAAACTTCAGCAGAACTGTTGTTCTCACATTCTACATTTTGATTTCATTTATTAATGATTATATTTATGTATCAGTTGTTAATAATAAACAAAGTTCAATTTTTAATCATTCAATATTGAATGTTTGCAAATTCTGTCCTGTATATCATGATACATCGGGTTTAGAATAAAATTTATTAGTACACTTATAAGGAATACTGCGATAAGAAGTATGTGGATGAGTGATGGCACTTATTCACTGCATATCATGTGTGCGCTTCGATTTCTACTTCGGATTTCTTCAAACTCTCATGAAATACTTATTTGATGTTATATTAGGTAAGGTGTTCGCAAGACTTGTACAATCATACGTTGACAATACATTTGAATGAGTAGTTCAAAATGTGACATTTCTGATGTTACTGTATGAGACTATGTTACAGTAACTGCCCAGATACTTTGATGCGCGCAGTTGAAATGGCTAATTCTTTCTGTTCCATAGTTCATGCTCATAATCAGCAAGTGAAGGGGCCACTGCTATCTCCAATGGCTATACAATTTATTTTGACTGAAGATAATCACAGTTAATTAAGTTTACTCTGAATTTCGTTCGTTTACCTTCGACCACACAAAATCGGCTTGAAAGTCCCAACGGACGACCCCTTAATCACAAGGCATTGAACCCGTTAAACAGGCAACCAAGGCAGTCAATACCTCAGTACCTGTTAGGAATACGGAACAGTTGATGAATGTGTAGCAAAAGTATGGCAACAACTCAATTCATAATCGGGTATCACTAGGCGACAGAGAAAATAGACGTAACTCAATCATTTTATCGAATGTTTCAATATCAAGGGGGAAGATTACAAGAAGGCAGAGCCTCCTTTGACAGAGAACAATGGGATAAGTACTGTATAATACTTGGAATGTGCCGCCTTTTCAAAAGTGAGAGCGTTTGTAAACGAAAACACACTCCAATGTGGACAAAAAGAGCCTTATTTTTCCTACACTAAGGCGAAATACGCACGCATGAGAGAGAACCTTCTACATGCCCTGTGACCACGGGGCTGGTGGAGGCTGACGGTAGATGATCACTTGCAAACAGTGGCATACGTCATACAGAACGCCGTCTTAGGCAATGTATCTCAGTCACACCAAACACGCGGAAATAGAACAATATGGGTTAGGCACAACGCTGAACGCTTGTCACATGTGAAGGGGAGAGACTGGCACGAACGTCAGGACTCTGAGAAGGATTCCAATCGTAGTTCTTACTTGGTGTTTAGAAACAGACACGAGACTAAAGTTCGAAGTGATAGGAGACACTT